TCTCTTGCTCGCTCCCGGGAGATCCCTGAGTTTGGGCAGACCTGGATCATGTGACTGCAGTAGGGCTAGAGATAGGGAATGAGTGAAGGCCACAGGGTTTAGGTGGAAAGTTTTACTTCACACAAAATGGGAGGACGGACCTGTCAGAATACCATATGCATACAGCATCTTGTATGCTAAGAAGTACTGATTCATATATGTGTAGTCCGTCTTTCTGATAGGTTTGTAGTAGTAACCTCTTCATATTTATTTCCATGAAAAACATCTTACAACTAATGAGAGCACTTGGGTCATAGCATAAAAAAGTAACTTTTTGAGATTAAATATCCAGGTTAAAAATTATGGTGGTTTTTTGAGCTTTCATATTACCATTAATATCTATAACTTAAAAATTCATAACCTTTTAGCTTAAAAGATGCTTTTGTCTATATTACTTCCTCTGATTCTCATGGTTTCTTGAGGTTTTTCTCTTTTGAATATCCCATGAGAACCAGTGTATAGTTTGTCCTTTGTTCTCCTATTATTACAATTCAAGGTAGCGTAGAACTTATTTTAAAACACATAAAGGCAAAAACTTACAAATGTTGGCAATTAGAACCTTTATAACCTGCTATTGAGAATGTAAAAATGTTGCAACTGAGTAGAAAATGATTTGGAACTTCCTCCAAATATTAAACATAGAATTACTGTATGACCCACAGCAATTTATTTTAATATATACCTAAGAGAATTAAAAACACACACCCCACAAAAACTTGTACACAACTGTTCCTGGCAACATTATTTGTAATAACAAGTAGAAACCATCAGAATGTCCATCAACAGATGGATGGATTCTAAAAATGTGTGTGAATATTACAAACACACACACACACACACACACACACACACGTGTGCGTGCATGCACGAGGGGTACCCCTAACGCCCTCCCCCAGAGATATGTATTTAAACTTTTTTACAAAACAACTTTATGACCATCAAAGTACTCTCCATTACACTTAATACATTTGTCAAATCTGTGATTCCATTCTTGGAGACAGTTTTCAAACTCATGGCTGGCTGGCAGCACCTCCTTCATTTTTTTCTTCACCTCTTCTACATCAATGCCCTTTCATGTCTCTCTTCATTCATGGAAGCAGAAAGAAGTCACACAGTGCAAGGTCAGGTGAGTAAGGTGCATGGGGCAAGAGAGACATGCAGTTTTTTTGCCCCAAGCTGGCACACTGAGATAGCTGTGTGAGCAGATACGTAGTCTTGGTGGCAAAACCAGTCCCCTGTCTGCCACAAATCAGGCCTTTTTTTGTCACACACTGTTAAGCAATCTTTTCAGAATCTCTAAATAGAAAGCTTGATTAACAGTCTGACCTGATGGGATGAACTCTAAATGCACTACGAATCAACATTTTCATCCACCTGGGAAGTTGAATGACATCCAGAACAAGGTTTGTCATCAATCAACATTTCACCTTTTGTGAAATGCTAAAACCACTCATTCATTTGAGATTTTCCCATAGCACTGTCCTTGTAAGCTGTGTTCAATATCACAACAGTTTCTGTGGCATTTTTCCCGAAACAAAATTTTTCAGGAAACAAAATTTTACAGATGCACACTGTTCTCTTAAATCAGCCATCACAAAAAAACAAGGTTCAAGTGAAACTGCTTTTACGAAAAATTCACTATAACCAGAGAGAATGTTCCTAGGCGACGACACTGTGTACTAACTCAATGAGTTGCTAAATGCTCGCCTAGTGGGAAAAATGTGTACTTTGGGGTGGCCGGAGTGGGGGGGTGCCCCCTCATATATACAAGGGAATGTTGTTCAGTTATTGAAAAAAACAAAGTCCCAATTCATTCTGCATCTTGCGAGAGCAGAGGTCACATTTGTCTGAAATGTGCAGATAGGCAAATTATAAACAGAGCGATGACTAGTAGTTGCCAGGTGCGAGGGGTCCTGAGCATGGAGGGTGGCTGCAGGGTTTCTTCTCAGGGTGATGAATCTTAGTGAATGTACCAACAGCCACTCTAAGCTGTGCATTTGCATGTGGTGAGTTTTATGGTCTATGAATATTATTTCTTAAATAAATGAAGACTTTTTAAAGAAACATTTGAGTCCCAACATTAATTGTGCTATTTATATGAAACCATTTTATATAACTTCCCCTCACCCTTTTGCTCCAAATGATATGAGCCTATTTATTGTTGGACCCACATAAATACACTCTACCAAATCACTTATACTTATTTCCTGAAGCAGCATTCCACACCATTCACAGTTTTTTCCTTACCCTGAGTGGGCTTATCCTCATTGATTCCCACTTATATTCTTGCAAACTCCTGTTCATATCTCAGAACCCTTCACAGGTGTCTTCCCCTCTCGAGGCTTGTCTGATCAGCCCTAACAGTGTTGATTTCTCTTTTTATCATACCAGCCTAGTGTATATCACACTGTGTGACAATCATTTGTTGGAAATTGTTTGCTATACTAACGTACTAACTTCTCAACAACTTGTTATTCATATCAGTATCCCCAGCATCCAACCTATTTCATAGCAAATAGTAGGTGTGTGACGATGATAAAAATAATGTAACAGCAACAGTATTCTTGTTGTTAGGTACCATCTTGTTGATTCTTTCTGACTCATAACAACGTTCTATACAACAGAATGAGACCCAGCCCAGTCCTGCATCATCCTCACAATTATTGCCATGGTTTAGCCCATTGTTGCAGCCGTTGTGTCCACCCATGTTACGAAGGGGGGGGGTGTTCCTCTTTTTTCTGATCCCCCATTGTAAAGGGAGAAAGTAAGCTCTGGGAGAGGGAAGGGAACAAAATCTATAACACAGGTAAGAAGAAGACAAAAACCCGAGAATAGTTGAAGACACAGGAAAAAGTAAGAACAGAAACAACTATGCAAGAGCTTTCCCCAAGCATTGCGTAATTAGGTGTCAGATAGCTGGATGGTCAAAAGAAGTTTATGATTCAGAAAAGAGTGAATAATGCGGGTCTGGGATTGTTTCATGGAGGACTTGAGCTGGGGCTTAGTGTGTGTGAGCTTTGAACATGTGGAGAAGCCTGAAAGAGGGTATTCTGGATGTAGGGTCTACACAGGGTGGGGGCGGGAGTAGCTGGGTGCCATCAGGCCCGTTCTAACTCAGAGCAATCCTACATACACCAGAATGAAAGCCAGTCCTGCACCCTTCTCAGAATGGATGGTGTGCTCCATCCCATTACTGTCAGTCCAGCTCGTGGAGGGTCAACCTCTTTTTCACTGACTTCTGCTTTCCCAAGCATGGGGTCCTTTTCCAGGGGCTGGTCCCACCTGATAACATGTGCAAAGATAGCATGTAGTAGAGGCAAGCTGTCTCTACTTAATCATCACAACAGTCCCTTCTGTTCATTGAGCCAAAAGTGGTTAAATAACTTCCTCCATCTTACACAACAAATAAGTGGCAAGGCTTGGCATCAAACCTAAGCAATCTGGTTCTAGTGTTTGTGTGTTAACCGGTATGCTATACCACATCAAATAGATCAACAAATGATTTAAGCACATAAATCAACAAATTAAAAAAATTTTGATTTCTTTTGGACTTAAGACATTTTTCATGTCTGAAAGAAAGGCTTTCACCCCTTTCTTATTAAGTAGGATAACTTTTAGGGAGTTGTGTACCTGTAAGATTCATTTGAGTTGCCATAGATACTAATGTCCTGTTGATGTGGTATTTGGTTAATTTCCTCTGGTTATTTTTCCTTTTCTCAAAATAGATACAGTGAGTATCAAATCACTAGCAAAGAAGCGTTTACTGAGACAAACGTGCTCCACTAGTCATGCCCACCACTAGGGTTGATGCTTCTACGGAGGCCTGTGAAGACAGACGATGGTCCCATACTTGTGTTGTCTGCAGAGGGCGCATCAGTTAGAACGGAGGAACCACCCATGCTCTGTGCAATTGTAAATGTTTACTGTAGTTGGTTCATATGCCCTCCTTATGGAGGGATCATCAAAACATGAAATGGATGGTAGACTGTGTATTTCCTATTTTTAGTACTAGTAACTTGTATGTATAGCAAATAAGAGTTTTGAATGTCCTAAATCTTTAATAAAGCTCAAGGGAGGAGAAATGTAGTTTTTAATAAGACAATGGTTAAGTATGTTATTTCACCTCTACCCCTTAGCTTCCCCAAAAGATTGTCTCCCTTCATAATGTTCTTCCTTAATAAGATTGGCTAGAGACAGAGTGTGCTCCTCTATTGGTTAAATGATTTATTGGCACAAAAACTATAGGCTATCTAATTGTCTCTTTTAATGACATCATTAAAATTTCATCTTGATTTGTTAGAACACATTCGTGTAAAGTTGGAGTTTAGCCATGCTCATATCTCTCTGTTGTACCTAAGGAATCTTAGAGACAGTTTTTTGTTTGATTTGGTTTTTAAGCAACTTAATTATGTAGTCTTTTATTTTTTTCTTTTGATAACCATTCTCTAAAAAAAAATATTAACATTCAGCAACTACTAAGAACCTTTCCATATCATGACTCCTAACAGCCGTTCCTGAACTCCCCTCCTCCATCTTTCTCCCGGCCGTTTTCCTAAACATCAGCCTTTTCCATTTCTAGCTTTCCATTCTCCATGCCTCATCTCTCCATGGAGGCTGCAAGGATTTAGCGTTCACCGTGCCAGCCTCTACAGATCGCATCTCTGTCTATAGTTGGGTCTCCATGGTAATGAGAAGCAGAAAGTGCTGAAGTAGCACACTATGCGTGCAAGAACTGGCAAGAGAAAACCATGGCAGAGTCTCAGCAGAAATAGCACTTAATCCCCAGGATGCTGGAGAAGCCAGAGAGCGACTCTGTGGTAGAGAGAGGGAGACTCCTTTGGTTAAAGGCGGCAGACTTGGCAGATTTATTTATTAAGAAGAACTTAATTTACAGCTAGTGAGTGCTGTTTTTTTCAGCTGGAAAATTAAAAAAAAAATTTTTTTTTCCTTTTCTCTTTCAGGCGACCGGATGCTCCAGTGCCTGATGGTGAAAGCGAAAAACATGCAGAAGAAAGTTCAGAGAGTGAATCGTCTTTCAGTGACTAAGCTTACTTTTGATACAAGTTTTACCTACACTTGTAGGCATACGTTTACAGTGTCTAAGACAGAGAATCTAAAGCTCTCTCTGTCTGAAAACAGCAAATGACCACATACCTCCCCGCCCCCCAGCTTCCTTTAAGTGAAAAAAATAAAACAGTTATAACCTGGCAGGATGTCTCATCCCAAATATAAGGCCCTCAACTGAAGTAAAAAACAACCTAAGTAAAGTACAATTACTAATAACAGATACTAATATGGACTATATCTGGATATAAATTAAGTCAATTTACTTTCAGTTTAGTGATCAAAAAACACTTTTTTGATCCCTCAGTCTGAAAAAAATTAATTTGGCTAAGTGAGTTATTCAGTTTTTGTGTATGAATTTTTAGCATGAAAAGTACTATGTATATTATAGCATAAAATTTGTTGAAATTTCTGGCAGATGATAAGACTAAATTTTATATGAAAACTTGTAAGTTATATATTGTAAATATTAAACTGATTGATATATTAGCATATAGAGTTTTTTTACTACTTGTTTATTAGTTTATATAAATATACGGCAAACTGATACTTTAATTGTATTTATTATCAGGTAGAATTTGGATTGAAGGTAGTTCCAATGTGGGTCAGAGTGGGCAAGTATCGTCATCAACTAACAACTTTTTAATTAGCTAATAGGAAAAAAAGAAGATTTAATGTGCATAGGGTTAAAATATTCTCCCCACATCTCACAAATAGTATTCCAGAAATAATTATTTGCACATAATCAGAAAATCCTTATATACACGTGCTGAACTGTCACTAAGTGGGTGACTTTGGAGAACAGACGGGTCTTGGCTGACAGTTGGGGAAGCTCATTGCAGTCCAGGCGTCCACAGGGCAGTATGCTGTCACCGCTAGACGAACGTCCTTCTTTGTCTCGGCTTCTGGAAGTACCAAGCACGTCTCAGCGTTCTCTCCAGACGTAGGACCTTCCCCTTGTGTGTGTTTGTTTTGTTCTTCCTTTTCATATGACATGACTAAAAAGGATTAAGCCCAGGGCCTACCCTATTCCAGTATAAATGTGTTTAACTTACCTGACAACACAGTAAAACCCCAGTTTCTAAACAAGGTCACACTCCTAGGTACCTGGGTTAGAATATCAACATAACCTTGTGAGGTCGGACAGAGGAGTGTATGACGGTACAGTTCAGTCCATAACAGCTATATAAATGCATCTGCTTGATGATATCCAGACTGGGTCACCGAGAAGAGCTTAAGGAAAGGACTAGGTTGCCAGGAGATAGATTGAGGGGTGATCCGAGGAAGCAGGCGTGGGGGCATGTGGACCCATGTGAAGTCCGCTCTGTTATATCTTTAAGGTGATGGCCAGTCATTCTCTATAAAAAGAGAACAGGAGGATTAGTGAGACAAACTGCAGTTCCTGTTGTAGCTGAATCCAAAGCCAAAATGGATACTTAACTTCCTCCACCACCCATTGTAGATTTCTCTTGTTCTCTGACAGAATTCCATTGGGTTAAGTTAGTGGCCTGTCGAATGTACCAGATCTTCATCTCTGAAAGGGTTCAGGGACTTGCTTACTTTGATCTTTATAGGATGTGATTGTTACAATTACCAATGTGCAGTTTATACCAGGTTTGGGAGCAGGAAGATAGACCCCAATGAATCACTCAAGTCCCAGACATACTCTCTGTATACCATTTAATTGTCAGAACTCATGGTAGTCAGCATGGTAATACTTTTGGGGTCCTGTTCTCCACCATTAAGCCAAAGGGACCAATTGGCAGAGGTGGTTTAGTTTAATGTCATTCTTACTGTATGTGCTCTTATGGAAGTCTGCCAGCTCCTTCCACCTACCCTATCTGGGAGCCAGAACCTCCAGCCCAGCACAACATAAGGGGGCCAGCATAAGGAAGCACAATTCTACAAGTGGGTTGTTGGGACTCGTGATGAGAAGGGCCACTACTTTCCTCTTAGTTCCTGTACTCACGCATTCTAGCAGTTGACAAGGCATCATATACTGTGTCCTGGAGAGCAGCATCTCACACCTGTAGGATATCTTTCCTGAACAGGTGCCTAGATTGGGCCTTTAATACATCATTTAATTGTTCTGATAAATTGCTAACACTTCAGGATAATACTGAATGTTGTAGGGCCAGTGGATCTAATAGTTTTACATCTATTTTTGCTCTGATTTTTAAAGCTGTAAAATTTTTAAATCATTTTATTGGGGGCTCATACAACTCATCATAATCCATCCATCCATCCATTGTGTCCAGCACATTTGTATATTTGTTGCCATCATCCTCAAAACATTTGCTTTCTACTTGGGCCCTTGATATCAGCTCCTCATTTTCCCCCTCCCTCCTCTCCCCTCCCTCATGAACCCTTGATGCTATAATTCTTATAGATTACAAATATTCAGCGAAGCTGGATTATATGAAGAAGAATGTAACATTAGGATTTGAGGAAAGCTTATTAACAAACTACTATATGCAGATGACAGAACCTTGCTGAAAGTGGGGAGGATGTGAGGCACTTGCTGCTGAGGATCAAAAGATTACAGCCTTCAGTATGGATTACAACTCAGTATAAATGTGTTAGGTAGGGTTGACTAGAGAGAGAAATCCAGAGACATATATATATACTCTGATATATATATATACCAGAGACATATTACAAATATTACATATATATATGAAGAACTTTATATAAAGAGTAATTGAATATCAAGAAAACATCCCAGCACAGTCTAGATCAAGCCTATAAGTCCAATACTAGACCATAGGTCCCTCTTCAGACTCATGCAGCCACGAGCAATGATGCTGAATGCAGGAAGATCACAGCTTGTGGGTAAAAAGTCTTGTGGATCTGATGGCAGTGGAAGCATCTCAGGACTGGTGCAAGCTTCCATGTGGCTCCTCCAGCTCTCAGTGTAGCTCTTCAACAGGAAGGTGAAGCAGAGAGAGAATGGCCTTCCTCCAGGGAGAAAGAGAGGAAGTTCCCAGAATCCTCATGAGAAGGCCACGCCCACAAGGAGGGATCATTAGGCTGTAACCTGATTGGCAGGCTAGACCCCACCTCTTCACTCTTAATATCCTCAAGTTCACATGAGATGATGTAACCAACACAGTAAAGAAACCCCAAATCCTCACAACTGAGCCAATGGGTAACATGATAAATGGAGAAAAAATTGAAGAAAAGAATTTTGTCTTGCTTGGATCCACAATCCATGCTCATTGAAGGAGCAGTCAGAAGATCAAAAGACCCATTGCATTGGGTAAATCTGCCCTACACGACCTCTTCAGAGTACTGAAAAGCAAGGATGATAGGTTGAGGACTAAGGTAAGCCTGACCCAAGACATGGTACTTTGCATCACCTCATACGCATGTGAAAGTTGGATACCGAATTCAGAAGACTCTGCATTTAAATTATGATACTGGCAAGAATATTGAAAGTATCGTGCTCTGCCAAAAGGACAAACCTGTGTTGGAAGAATAGCCAGAGTGCTCCTTATAGGCAATGACGGTGACATTTTGTCTACATACTTTGGACGTGTTACCAGTAGAGCCAAGTCCCTGGAGGGCATCATGCTCAGTAAAGTAGAGGGGCAGCAAAGGAGAGGAAGGCCCCCAAGATGGACCGACACAGTGGCTGCTACAATGAGCTCAAGCATAGGAACAATTGTGAGGACAGAGCTGGACCAGGCAGTGTTTCGTTCTGTTGTACATAGGCTTGGGACCAACTAGATGGCCCCTAACAACAACCCTGATGGAAGCAGGCTGCCACATTTTCTATGAAATGACTGGTAGCTTTGAACCACCAGCTTCTCAATTAGTAGCCAAGTGGTACCACAGCTCCTTGTGATGCAGGATACCTTGTGAATAGACGTTCTGTAGGTTAGTGAAGAGTAATGCTGACAGTGGTTCTGCTGCCAGGGAAAGCAAGCTCATATTCACCATAGAATTGATTAGGGATGTTACAGGATACAACTCAGGATCAGGAACAATTTGGAAGCAACTACAGGGATGTGAATGAAGCATACAGATTGTTGCATTGTCCAATACAAGAGGACAACCACCCATGGCACAGTGAATTATCTAGTATGTCCCTTGAGAGTATTATATCTTTCACTCCCACTAAATAACAGTGAGATTGTACAATGAAGTGCTTGTAGCTCACCTAGGGGATTGAATAGCTTGCTAGTAATTTAGATAAGGTGCATAGCATTCTTGTGGGGCTTTTTCCCCTAACAGTTTTATCGGCATATAATTCACATATCATACAAGTCAGTAGTTCAACCCATCAAGAAGAGTTGTATAATCATCACCACAATCAGGTTTAGAACATTTTTTGGAATCTTTTACTCATCATCTCAGCTCCCCATTTCCCCTGAACTTCCCCTACCATACCCCCAAGGGACCATTAATCCAGTTACTGTGTCTAGAGATGTCCCTATCCTAGATTACATATGCAGAAAAAGATTAACAACAAAACTAGCAAGAATAACAGTGAAACATTAAAAAAACCCTCAATAGAAAAGAAAGCAGAAAGTATTAAAACCTAGCACCACTTTAAATTCATCTGCCACTGACAGAAGACTGACATAGTCTGATGGAAGACGAGAGAGACGTGGAGCAGAGCCAAGTTGCCCTAGGCACCGTCAGCCACCTCCAAAATGGGTGCAAGTTCAGCCAAGATCAGAAAATCAGCTTGGCCAATTTACAGCTGGCCCTAGATGTGTGAGTAATAAATGCTCATTGTTGATCATCATTAAGATAGTTTTGGTTGTTTATTATATGGCATTTATTATAGCAATAAATAACTGATCACAACTCATTATAGGGAACTCCCATGAGATCATAAGAGTAGATTGAAGGAGATGCATTCGTGCAAGTGAGTGTTGTAGGAAACTAAGGCACTTGTTTCATTTGCATGTTCCCTCTGGGCTTGATTCCAAAAATGCCAATTTCCACTCAATGATGTATTGCTACTTCGACGTATTCTAGTTTTATGATTTTTTTTTCATGTGAATGTTGTTTTTTTTAAAATCATTTTATTAGGGGCTCATACAACTTATCACAATCCATACATACATCAATTGTGTAAAGCTCATTTGTACATTCATTTTTTTTTTAATGTGGCTTTTTTTGTTGTTGTTGTGATGTGGGTTTTTTTTGTGTGGAATATTATATTGTAAAATATTTTATTTTAGTTTTACGGTTTTATGTAGCTGATAATACCCAGCTCATGAGTGGCAGCTCCAGTTAGTCACTTGATGTAATATGATCAGGTTCTCCTTTTCTTTTTTTTTAAGTTTTATGAGCACTTCGTCGACATGACATATAATTCAGTAATTCAGTCATCAAGAAGAGTTCTATGATAATCACAGCACTCAATTCTCGAACATTTTCTTCCTTGTAGTCATTGTTATTCATGTAAATTTTTTCTCATATACACAGCAAAACATCCAATTCCATAACTTCTACATGTACATATAATTCAGTGC